TATAACTAATTTCTAAGCTAGTATGTAGAGGAATATTGTTATTTTTAGGGAAAGTTGCGCAGACAAAGGTTTGTTGGTTATTTGTGTACATACAGTGTGTATGGCGGGAAATTTGGTTACAAGCCAATACTTTATTTGTATAAAATCAGACAAAAACTCACTCTCCCGGACCCCATTATTCATAATATCAGGAAGATGTAGCAGGAGGGGGGGGGGGGAGAGCCAGAGAGAGCCATATACTGTATATCAACATAGGGAGCCAACTACACACACAAACCAAAGTGAAGTGAACCAGGTGAAGTGAAGATCACTCAAATGTTGGAGAACTAAGCTTGTCAGGAAGTGCAATAAAACTTTTGCGAGTCAACAGCCAATACTTTATCAATACATCTTTTCAACAAGCATGAACATGTAAACAATAGTGATACCTATTTTATTCTGCTCTGTTTGAAGTCTCATTTACACAAGCACAGCACTACTACTATTACTTTACTAGGATCCAGACGCCATTGTATCCGGACCCCGGACGTACAACCAATAGATAATTGAGAATTATTACATTTTGACTGAGTGCTTCTATTTTAAATGGCACAGCATTTCTAGCCTTTATGGCACTTATTCAGGGGTCCATAGGGTACACATAGGGTACATCCCAAGTCTTTTCCTTGCATCTTAGTCCCTGCCACCATTGATGCATGGAGAGACGGAAAGGAGAGAAACCATGTGAGGCGAGAGGAAACAAGGAAACATGTTTCAAAAGGAATGAGACATGGCATGACATGGATGGCAGCCACTGATCAGTCGGCTTTAACTGCTGTAGAGACTTTTGACAGAGTTTGTGTCTGCACACATGATCACTGTACTTACACTTATAAAGGCAGTTATCATCACATTCAGAGTAGAGGTGATTTTTTTTCTCTGTAGCCTTTTACCTGATTAACAAACTGCATTGAGTGTGTGCAGCAGTATAAATACTATAATACTTTATATAGTATAAATATTGAGTATGTATACTGTGCAGCATCGATATCTACCGACGGAATGCGTTTGTTTTATTTAGTTTTTTATTTATTGCTTCTGTATGTTTTTAAATTCTGATTGTGAAGTTATTATTAAAAATCCCAGAATATGATCATGATTACATAAATTATGTAAAAATCGACAAATGCTACAGCGAAGTGGATAGCTACGAACTGCAGGCCGATTAGTATTGTGGAAGATGTCTGAGGAACGTTCTTAGGATCGCAAAGAATGACGGCACGTATGAGCCTCCATCAAGACGCACCATCACAAGAAGAATACACGAGTTGTATGAAAAGGAGAGGACTACATGTTGTGAAGTGGAGCTTCTAATTGACGACCTAGACACGTCGGGTTTTGAACGGAACGGAACACTTTACTGTCTCAAACTGCAGTATAACAACTGTTACAGAGAACAGACCGCGCTCTTGCACCCGACATATAGGTTTTCACTTATCATCATCATTGTTGTTGTGAAGAAGCACGTATCATGCTACTTCCTGTCTCTTCACAGTAAAATCACTTCCGTTTTGATGCTCTTCACAATAAAAATAAACATGCAACAAACAATTTACACTACATAAGCGACGGCGTTACAATGTGCACCAACTGTTGCTATCACTGGACATCGTTGGGTAACCATAATTACCATAATAATGCCTATGATCATGGCTCTGGACTCTGAGGGTAACTTATTTTTCTATAACAAACTAGATAAAACGTTAATGCCCTGGCAGTGGCAAATAGCTTTGGTTTTATATTTGATTGGATTACATTAATGTTTAAGTTGAGATTTACAAGAAATATTTTAACTGCTACTGTGTAAAGGCAATACTGCTGTTAAAAACCTCTTCTCACTCCTGCATAATTTGCCTAAAACGCCTATCAACCGTGTACCCAAAGTAAACTGACAGCTCTTATTGAACCATTGGGAGTACATGTATGGTTTTAGTCTTTATTGAACGGCAACACTCTGAAGTTTCTTCACAATCAGTCAGAATCACTGTAAGTGCTACTAGCATTGAGCTATGGCGTTTTCAGCACAGTGAAAGAGAAGCATTTTATTTCCGCCTAGATTTGTTTTGGCCAACAGATGGCAGCAGTTATCTATGGCTGGGACTTACAGGCTTGAAAAGACTCTCCTTCGACAGCCAACAGTCATGACACCTGGTATAAGTTAAAATTTGATAACATGACAGAAAATTAATATTTTACACATGATTCACTAAGAGTGCTGGAGGTTCACCTCACCACTTCAAAATGCATATACTACGATAAACTACATGTCCGAAATTCGAGCTATAGTTTATTTATGTCAATGTATGGTTAACTATATCATATTTAATTATTATCAACTTTCACAGATTCTTGAAAATTCTCATGAACCAGACTTTGGTCTTCATACTCTGTCCCAGGAACTTGACTCATGGTTTCCAGTTCAGGTTTGAAAACTTTCCCAGCATTCAATCTGATAAATCTGCATATCCTTGTCTTCGTAATTTCATTGGCTATATGGAGCCTGAGTTTGAACTGGATCTGTTGCGATTGGCTCGAGCTATACCCAAAGAAGAGAGGCGGGCATTGTCTTTCAAAGCGGACTCTCGTTGGCTGTTCCAGACTGTGACCGGGTTATAGAAGCTCCTATTGGGTCAAATGAGGTGTCAATCTAACCGGCGGAATGCAGGCTCCATTTTGCGATGAAAATCTCCGCTCTGTTGACACGGAACGTGAAGTTATGCCCGAAATATGATCGCGAGTTATCATATCTGCTGGCTAATTTGAAATGATGCAACAGCCCCCCGTGGGTCTTTATGGACTTACTAATGTGTTTTGGACTAAATCTTTTACTGGATTCGATCGAGTGGACCCTTAGCCACCTAGCAAGACCGTTTTTGCTGGACTAGCATGCACAAGGGGGACGTTATGAATCATAATCGGTGAGTCACGGCGATATTTTATCGGCTATTTTTGGAGTGCTTGTTTGACAGAGACGTTAACTGTACCTGCTGTTATTGTATCTTGAAATGGTTTGCATAAATCGAATTACAAGAACCGTAGCTTTCTAATGAGATATCACATTAATACTCATCGTTACAGGGCAGTTGTGTGCATAACACAAATATGCCATTATCACTCTGACGGTCAGCCCGCGGGCCGTCAGAGTGAGAAGACGTTTTAAAAAGCACCTTATTTGTTTAAAGTGTTTGCAAACCAAATGTTATTGCACTTTTGTTCATATAGCAGTACTTTTAAAATAAAAGTGAGCAATACACTACTTTTGAATTCATTATTGAATTTTGAGAAGCATTGCAAATTGTATGGCTGGGAATGCGTTTTATTTGCAACTGAGCAGGAGGACTTCTTACTGGAACTGAACCACACCGATGTACAGTACAACTGCATCATTGAACTCTTTGTAATCAAAGAAAGGATGATGGACTTTGTCTTATAGCGGACAGCAGTAAGTGAAGTGCTTTTGTTTTTTTACATCTGTAGTACTACTGTGTTCATTTGTCTATGGTGTCGTTTTTATGATGTGGTCAATATTGTTCCCGCTGATGTGAATAATATTTGAACGGCTCGTGCTCTTCAGTGTGTGGTGGAATACTTGTTTTAGCGCCTTGCTGGATTGATTTGTCATGCTTTGTTGTCATATAAATATATGTGACTGGTTCTTGTGAGTTTGTTCTTGTCATTGTGTTAATTACATTGATTTTGACTATATGCATTGTCCGTTAATGACGCAGCATCCCGTCATGCGCGTATTCATGCACTCTGCAGTTAGTGTATTTGTAGCCCTCATCGGTGCTTCATGTAATATTTTATTTCACTTGTCAAATGTTGCAGTGTTATGTGAATATGCGTTTTTTACACGAAACAAATAATAACCCGTAGCTGGCGCGTCATAATGAGGTTATTAGGAGGAGGTTCAACTAGTAGGACAGCACTGAAGGCCCAGGTATAAAATACACGGCCCGCCACTGGTTTTAATAAAACAAAATGAATGGAGCCTTGTATAGATAAAGATAGTAAACCATTTCCAAAGGAAATAAAAATAGAACTAAATAACTTGGTAAAAAGGAATATTGAATGACTATGATAATGAGTTTGATGAACTTCAACACCGTGTTACAGGGATAAAATATCCATAGCAGATTAAAAAATAAAAAATAAACAGGATTAAAAGCAGAGGCGTTTATCTGTTTTTTTCCTAATTGTCTTGCTGTTTTCGTGTTTGGTAATTTTCAAAGAGATGTGTGAATGGAGATGTGAAGCCTGTTTTTCAACAGGTACCATCCTCTCTAAATAAGACAAACAGGATGAAGAACTTTTTCTGTAAGATGATAGCAAGTAGCACTTTTTTACTACATTAAATCTGATTATTTTTATCAGCAGTTTGGTTTATAACACTATCCTTGTCCTAGCTTGTTAGCACCGAGGAGTTTAACTCAATTATTTTTTGCTCTGTCTACAGTATGACAGAACACTGATGTTACTGCTTTATGGAAGTATGGCTGTATAGAAATAAGATCTCTATCTGTGTGGACAGATATTGGAACAGTAATAATATAATGAATTAGACCAGAGGTCATGAAAATCTTTAACAGCATATCATCTTGGACATTGCAGACTCTGATTTTCAAGACCTTTGGCTTAAAATGATGGTATTTGATGGTTAGTGCACACTTGATATGTTTATCAGGTCTGAAAAGCAGACTGCTTTTATTTGACTAAAAGTCTGCAGAGTAGCACTTTACTCTCCAGGCATTTACTAATAATCAGCTGTCGGATGATATTACACATTTTAAAATATACCCCCTTATCTGTCATATATAGATGAGCTATAATACTGTCTGAGAGGTGTGAAGTTTGAAAAGTCTGTAAATGCTCAGACTAATATACAAAATTGCTTTTTCAAAAGCAGAGGAAGAAAGATCACTGATGGAAACTTCCCTTCTGTTTTTTCTCTCCATTTCCAGGTTGAGCAAGAGCATCAATATGAGTTCCCCCAAGGCCACCAGCCCCCTCAACCTCAGAGGGAGTCCTACCTGAGCAAACAGGTTTTCTCAATGCACCCCTTCACACCCCCCACTAAGGCCCATGTGAAAGGCCGGCCCCTGTACACCGACCTGAGGCTCACCAGCCAGTCTCTATCAACTGTCTCTATCAAAGAAATCAAAGATCTCTATCTGTGTGGACAGATATTGGAACAGTAATAATATAATGAATTAGACCAGAGGTCATGAAAATCTTGAACAGCATATCATCTTGGACATTGCATGGACATGGCTTAAAATGATGGTATTTGATGGTTAGTGCACACTTGATATGTTTATCAGGTCTGAAAAGCAGACTGCTTTTATTTGACTAAAAGTCTGCAGAGTAGCACTTTACTCTCCAGGCATTTACTCAGCTGTCGGATGATATTACACATTTTAAAATATACCCCCTTCTCTGTCATATATAGATGAGCTATAATACTGTCAACACATGGCAAATGACAACACCTGTATCAGTATGTTTGTTGATTTCAGTTCACCTTTCAATACAATCTCCCTATTGTAGCCCCCCGGGTTGTGTGCTCAGCCCCCTTCTGTTCACGCGTGCACCCACAAGAGCAACCCCCAACATGCTTAATGAGAATATACAGGCAAAGGGCAAGTTCTCTGCAAATACAGACACCGCCACACACTGCACACAGGAAAATAAATGGTTCTTAAGTGG